GAGCCAGATCTCTCGAGTTGTACTCACACGCTCACCATCCCTACTAGCACATTGCTATTCCTCGTCGTGAGCATCAGCGAGAAAGTAGCGCAGCACTTCCTCGGACCACGCAGAACCAAAGACGACCCATTGGAGAACTGGGGCAAGCCGGGCACCGGCACCGAGGAGCTCGCCTGGTACCCGACCGACTTCCTACGGGACGTCGTGCCCCTCCCGTGCCACTCGCACAACGACTACTGGCGCAAGGTGCCACTCTTCACGGCGCTCTACGCGGGCTGCACGGGAGTCGAGGCCGACGTCTGGCTGCGCCACGGCGACCTGCTCGTCGGTCACGACACGGCCAGCCTGCAGGCCAGCCGGACCTTCCATAGCCTGTACGTCAACCCGCTGGTCGACATCCTCACGCGGCAGAACCCGTCGACCGACTTCTACAACGACACCCGAAACGGCGTCTTCGACACGGACCCCGGGCAGACCCTGGTCCTCCTCGTCGACGTCAAGACCGACGGAGACGAGACGTGGCCGTGGGTCATGGAGCAGCTGGGCCCGCTGCGCGAGCGGGGCTGGCTCAGCTACACGGAGAACGGGCAGTTCCGCCAGGGGCCCATCACGGTCGTCGGCACGGGCAACACGCCGTTTGACCTGGTCGTCGGCAACAAGACGTCGCCCCGCGACGCCTTCTTTGACGCGCCCTTGGACAGACTCGAGGGGTCGGGCTTCGACGCGACCAACTCGTACTACGCGAGCGTCAACTTCTGGGACGCCGTCGGGCAGGTGTGGTGGAAGGGCGAGCCGAGCGAGGCGCAGCTCAAGAAGATCCGGACCCATCTGCGCGAGGCCAGGAGCAGGGAGCTGGTGTCGCGATACTGGGGATTGCCGGCCTGGCCGATCCACGTGAGGAATCGGGTCTGGCAGGTCCTGGTGGAGGAGGGGATTGGGATGCTGAATGTGGATGACTTGGATGCCGCGACGAAGCAGGACTGGACGAAGCCGGGCACATTCTAGGGGGACGTGATGGCAGGTCTGAGTTTGTTGATGTCTTTGTTGTCGATTATCATCGCGCGAGGCATGGAGTGGGTTCATGGTCCCGAACGAGACATTGAGAAGGTCCTCGGTCGCGATACTAAAAAGACATCAAGGAGACTCGGTGCATGATTGTAGAACACGGTGACTCGCGGGACTGATCGCCGGCAGCATGATACAGGAGGCTGTATTATAGCAGAGTCCGACGACACGAAGTTGCACGTTTGCCTTCAACACGTATGGTGGGTGTCTCCCGTGCTCTGGTTTTAGATCACCCCGCTCCACCTCCCCGAGAGTCCGGATTATCTCCTGCGGGGATGCGTTTCATCGAACACCGGTACTCTCTGTCCGCCCACCAGGTGTGGGGTTGTGAGCTCATACATCTCCGCGCAGAACCAGCAATATGTGATGACCAGGGGGGGTGTAGGGGAGTACAATACAAGGCGCTGGATGAGCGAGGGAGATCCAACTCACTCAGGTCGAGTTCAACAACCTACACAAGGACAACAATAGCAACAGGATACCGCATTAGATATTCATCCAGATCAGAGCCACAATGGAAGGACAACACCAGCGCCGTTCATCCATTGCCGCGATTGCAGCGGAACGACCAAACCTCGCTTCCATCGATGTAAGCCACCCACACAACAACAATACCAACAACCCGTCAACCCACCAATGGCACTCCCCATCTAACACAACCCCCCAGCCGTCCATGCTCGACCGCCTCCCGGCCTACTCGGCGACGCTCTTCGAAGCCAAGACGCAGCGGCGCCTCACCTTTGAGCAGATCGCCGAAGCACTGGGCCGCAGCGAGGTGGCCGTGGCGGCGCTCTTCTACGGGCAGGCGCGCGCGACGCCCGAAGACGCGGCCAGGCTGGCGCAGCTGCTGGGCCTGTCGGCCGAGTCCCCTCTCGCGTCGCAGATGGTCGGCTTCCCCGACCGCGGCCGCGCCGGGCCCATGCCGCCCGTCGAGCCGCTCATCTACCGCCTGTACGAGATTGTGCAGAACTACGGGTACGCCTTCAAGGCGGTCATGAACGAGAAATTTGGCGACGGCATCATGAGTGCTATCTGCTTCAAGAGTACTGTGGAGAAGGAAGTGGTAGGTTTTGGTTTGGTCTTTTTTGTGCAATGCGCGCCCCCACACCCCCTTCCTGAGGGTTGGAGCTTGGTGGACGGGTGGAGGAGGAGGAGGAGGAGGAGGAGGAGGAGGAGGAGGAGAATAAGAGGGAGGAGGAGGAGTTCTCGGGCAAGGACACGGGCCGACTTGCAGGAGTCGACGTGCTTCGGGTTGGGCACTAGCCCTCCTGCCTGTCGACTTCCCTCGTTCCTCAACGGGAAGGGCTCACAGCTGACGTTGATGCAGGACGAAACTGGCGCGCCGTGGGTGGTTATCACGCTCAAGGGGAAGTGGTAAGTTGACATCTGATTCCGCATTGCTACCTGTTTCATTCTGTCGTGCGAGTAACTATTGTGCCGTCCTGCCCACGCTACCGGCCGGGCGATCTCTTTCTCTGTCTGTCGCATCCCCTTCCCTTTCGAATGTTTGTCTCGACGTGCGTCTCTCCGCGCATTCTCGGCCGACCTGGTCGGAGTCCTTGCTGATTGCTGAACAACCAGGCTGCCTTTCTCTCGGTTCTAGACGTCCCGCTGGGATAGTGTGTTTTTCTTGGATTGGACCACGGCGTTGTGCACCTCCTTTGATCAGGATCAGCGACGGGACCCGAACGGGGGCGGGCAGCATGCCCATCGCGCCGACGGTTGGATGGCAAACATCAGTCGTTCCCCTCTTTCAGTATCCACGGGCTAATGGGCTCGATTTGACTGTCTGGGCTTGATATCTCTTTGGGGTGGAGCTGGGCGGGCATATGACAAACAGGCTCGGGAACAACAATACTAAGGGGCTCAGGGGTAACAATATTAAGGCAGCGCCACCACGTTCTTAGTTCAACTTTATCTGCAATCAAAGACGCCCGAGGAATGTAGGGGCTTGGCGGACTTTGTTTCCTCGTTGCCCCTGTTCCCTCATGGCATCTAGAAGCCTTCGCTTCCTTGATCATGACCAAAGACCTTTCTTGTCCGTCAGAGAACAATACCAAGAGGACAATACTAAGCTTGAACCGCCTCATCAATGCCCTGAACAGGTCCTTTGGCGTGTTTGCTTGTCAGAACTCCAAGCCGAGGGCTGTCAAAGAATGCGACGGCGTCGAGAACGCTTCCGATTCTCCTCGGTCCCCTCATCGTGGCGAAGACGGCAACGAGTCCTCGTCGAGGCACCGGCCGAGGATGGCCTCGAGATGGTCGAGAGGAAAGTAGAAGAAACCTCACCTCCTCCGAGCCAGAGTCTGTTTCTCTCCTCTCTCCAACAGCCCTCCAAAACACACACACAGAACAACTTCAGCTTTTCCAAGCAAACCCCAAATCAATCAACATGCCTTCCACTCAGGTTCCCCAGACCAACTTCAACTCCTACTGCGTTGTCATGTAAATGACAACCGGGGGATCCCCGGTGCAAGCGGCCGCACGAGCGCCTTTCCTGCCTCATCGCCATGAGAGGGTCCTCCTCTCCGACCTCTCGACAACCACCCGCGGCCTCTCAGTCCTCAACCCCTATCCCAGGGAGATGTGTTCTCCCGTCGTCCACCAGGACCCTCCCTGCCCGCTGAGAGACGCCTAGAGAGGAGGCAGCGATGCACTCGTCACGCTTCACCAAAACCACGTCGGCCGGCCTCAGCCAAACTCACAAATCTTCCCCGCCTCGCCCCCCAACACCACCACCACCAACGACCGTTTTCTTGTTTCAATTCTTCCACCCAAGCTTGACAATTTCACGGCGGCCAGAACTCGGCAGTCTCCTTTCACTCTCTCTCTCTTGGCCCGCTCACTCGGCTCTTACTCGACAAGTTCCAGCCCAGCTCGCTCAGGCACACACAACAATTTGCAAAGGAAAACCCGCCACACCAGTTCCATTTTCCCGACCCGTCACCAGCAGGGGCTAATTCGCGATGTCGTCCTTGCTTGGTGACGGGAGATGGGGATGAGGAGATTCGCGACCTCCTTGTTTCTTCCAAGAATGGGGGTGAAAAATGGGATGGAAAGGGTTGGTTTTTTTGTATGCAACACGGGAGTTGAATGGAGTGGGGGGAGAGGGGTTGGGATTACGGGCTCTCTGGCTGTTGTTGCTTTTTGGTATTCGGAGGAGGATGATGGTATATAAGCCAGGCGAGGCCGGTTCGACAAACTTTGCTTGCTTCCTTTGCTTGCTTCCTTTGCTTGTGACTGTGACTGACTTTTGTGGCTGGACCTGAGAGAAGCTTGTCAGTGAGCCTTGTCCAGAAAATTTGCCAGGAAACGTTGTTGTTCCAGCGACAATTTCTCGCTGAGAGCCAGCCAGGCAAGCGCTGTTGACCTAGTGAGTGGTTCAGGGGTTCAGGGGCCAGGGGCTCAGCGAAAGGTAACTCGAGGTAAGCTTTTGGAGTTCTGATCGTAAGTCTGATGTTCTCAGACCTGTGTTCCACATGGTAATTGCCTCGATGGCCTTCTCCTCTCCTACTGAGGATTAGAATCCAAACAGTTCAGAGTGGCAATCTCTGCCTGCTTAGGGATACTTGTTCACCCAACTCCGCCCAGATCAGGAGAGACTCAACTTCAGCTGAAGAGACTCCTGTTTCTAGTTTCCCCGAGACGTCAATCTGGCCATGAGCATCCATGATGAGAAACGGCACCTGGTCATGCCCATAGAGTTCGCAGAGTCACCATGGACATTACTGTGACAGGTGCACCGTCCGTGGGTGTGTCTCCACCGCCCTTCACCCGTGCCACAGCCGAGTTCACTCAAGCCACCATGCCCCATGCCAACAATCATGTCGCATCCGGAAGTCCATCGCGTGGGCAAAACAAAAGAAGAAAAAAACATCGCGAGACTCCAAATTTTTTGGGCTTATAAGTAAGCGGTCGGTTGACGTGCTTCAACAGCCCGCATGGCTCAGTGGTAGAGCATCTCACTAGTAATGACAGAGATGTCTTACTGGATAATGAGGGGGTCGTCAGTTCAATTCTGACTGTGGGCAAAAATACGAGCCGTTAAGGTGTCCGATACTTTTGCAAGTGTTTCATTTTGCTCGGGCACACGATCGAGATGCCGGAGATAACGAGTCCTGGCTGACTCCCGTCTCAGTGGCGCGTTGGTGAATCTGTCGTCGAAAGGAAAAGAGCAATTCAGGGAGGGAAGGAGCAGTGAGGACTTAAGAGCGGGTTAGGGTTGCTGACTCTCTCGGCTCTCCGGCTCGACCCCACACCCGCTTTCGTATCTTATCGCAATCCCAAAAAGTTTTGGAAGTCTTCGCTGCTGCTGCTGCTGCAAGCAGTCCATCAATTCATCGTCCCCACCGCAAACATAGAATCAACACCGGCAACATGGCGAAGAAAGGCGCAACACAGCCCCCAAAGACAGGGCCCAAGACCAAGCCACAAACCAGAGGCGGCAAGTCGGCCCAGCAAAAAGGCGACAGGAGAAAGTCATCTGAGCCCGTGGTCGAGAAGATGATCGAGGACGACGGGGAGGAGTGGGAAGACGAAAGCGACGAGGAGGCGCCCGAGACCAATGGCGGCAAGGGAAACAAGAGGAAAGCCCGGGATGACGAGTCGAGCGACGGAGAGAGCGATTCGGAGGGCAGTGGCCTTGAGCACGGCGGCATCAATCTCGAGGGGATAGACGACTCCGACTCGGAATCAGAGCTCGACTCAGATGACGGAGCCGACAAGGACGAGGATGGCGAGGACGAGGAAGAAGAAATCGATGTTGACGAGCTGTCGGCCGAGGACGAGGAAGACGAAGAGCAGATCGCCGCCGGCACCCGCGTCCGCCAAACCATCAACAACAAGGAGGGTCTCCTCGCCGCCCTCCGGCGCTTTGCCCTCGACACAAACCCCAAGACCGTCCCGTTTGTCTTCCACCAATCAGTCGTCTCTTCCAAAAATACCGAGGATTCGATACCCTCCATCGACGACGACCTGCAGCGGGAGCTGGCCTTCATGAACCAAGCCCGGGATGCCGCCCGGCAGGGGCGCGCCCTGCTGTGCAAGGACGGCGTCCCATTTACCCGGCCGACAGATTACTTCGCCGAGACGGTCCGCAGCGACGAGACCATGCAGAAGGTCAAGGCGAAGCTGGTCGAAGATGCGACCGCCAAGAAGGCGGCCGCCGAGGCCCGCAAGCAGCGCGACCTCAAGAAGTTCGGCAAGCAGGTCCAGGTGCAGAAGCAGCTCGAGCGCCACAAGCAGAAGCGCGAGACCCTCGAGAAGATCAATCTGCTCAAGCGGAGTACGTCCCTCCTTTACATTCACGTTCACCGCCTTGCATACTGACCTTTCCTCCCCACACAGAACGACAAGAAGGCGGCTCGGCGGCCCTCGGCGCAACCGAAGCAGACGACCTCTTCGACGTGGCCGTCGACAACGAGCTCCGGTCGGCCGGCAACAGCAAGAAGCGCGGAGCGGCAGGCGACAGTCGCGGTGCGCCCAACACCAAGCGGCAGAAGAAGGACTCCAAGTACGGCTTTGGCGGCAAGAAGCGCTTCTCCAAGTCGGGCGACGCCATGTCGTCTGGCGACCTGGGCGGCTTTAGCGCGAAGCGGATGAAGAGCGGCGGAGCCCCAGGTGGGGGACCAAAGAAAGGGGGCAAGGCGCCTAGGCCAGGGAAGTTGCGGAGACAGGCCATGGCTGGGAAGAGGTAGTTAAGCACGGTTGTGGGTGCTGTGTAGGAGTCGATGTCTTATTCAATGGTACTTTTGCTGCGGAGTTGGGTGCCTGGTGCTGCCGCGCCGGAATGGGCCAGCCCTGACGGGAGGAGAGTAGCTGTGAGTAGTCGGCTGTGATATGACACAGCAAGCCGTCGAGCGCACTCTCATGGAAATTCAAGTAGTAGCTTGCAAAGCATATTCCACACTGCACTACCAAGCCGGGAAGCCCGGACTGACAACCCAGTGCCCTTTGAACCTTGCTCAGGCGCAAAGTGATATCGTTATATGTTCCCTGACTATTATCTGGTGGCCCTGCTCCATGCACTTCGGCACGCACGAGGGTTATCTGCCACCAAGCCAGTGGTACTAAGCTTAGGGTAGAGAGAATCTTATCGACGCCAATCTCAGTCCTTGCTCAGTAACAAGCTTCCTATCATCTCGGGCACCTCGTTTGATCTACCTGGCACTTGTCCGGCTCGCCTTCGTTACAGCCAGTCTCGGTTCATAAGAACTGCCGGCTGCTTGCGTTCTATCCCAACAGCTGGCAACCAAACCAAACGGACCCTCCGCTTCGTCGGCTCTGAACCCATCATTCCGCAGAAACGTACGGGAGAAGCGAAGAGAAAAGAGCACGAACCACAAAACCAGACATGCTATCGCCTTGTCACTCGGGACCAAAGCTATGCGAAGTGAAAACCCCATGAGTATGAAATGGAGTCATGACGACATCTTTAAGTGCCAGTGTGCCACATCACGCACATGAACGGCATCATCCTCAATATCCTCACAACAGACGGAACCATACCATGCGAAGAACGTCACCTCGGAGCGCATGCGCCGCAAAAGGAGACCACAATCCAGCGCGGCATAATAATGCCCATTGCCAAACCATACCTAGAAGCCCGACTAGATCCATCCGTCCACCCAACGGTCAAGCCCCTACCATCCATCCACCACTCAACCCAAAAGCTACCCTCAGACTATGATACCCACCCCTTTTTCTCCACTCACCGCACATGGTCAGGAAGAGATATGAGACCGGAAGAGGTACGGGGAATCCCTTCTTTCACCCCTTCCACTTCAGCGTCACACACCCAAGATAGGTAGACATACCACATACCAACCAAAGCAGCAGAGTAAGCTGAAAAATTCATCCATTGTTCGTCTCGTTCTCTCATCCCAGGCTACCAAAAAAAGCAAAACAAAAAAGACGGAGTACCTGATATGATTCCATTCCATTCCATTCCAGTCCCATGACCTGCTGCGTGTGTCTGCCTCGACCTGCTTGCTTGCTAAAAAGAAATGGGGCAGAAAGGAGGCAAAGGGGACAACAAAGCCCCAGAGCCGAAGAAAAACACCACTATAAACAAAAAAAGGAGGCGCGCGTCTCTCTGCTTGTCCTGCCTGTCCTGCCTTCCGTTCGCGAGGGCATCTCGTCAGCCATATGCAGCGAACCACAGACACAGGCACCCAAACCCAGCCCAAACCAAAAAAAAAAAAAAAAAGGAGTAAAGGAGGAGATGTTCCTCGTGGTATTGTGCAACGCCAACCATGCCATGCTCGCAGAGGTGCCGTGTCTGAGAGACAGAGAGAGAGAGAGAGATGATAATGCTGTTGCAGTGCTGTGATTCGCCATGCTGCTGCCGCTCAATTGTGCTGAAGTGTCCATTCGATATGAAACGGAAACGGGAGTCTTGGTGTTTGACCCGTAGTACCAAGGTGGTGATGGATGTTATGGAAAGAATGGGAGAGACGTGTGTATGTATCCCTGGAGGTTGCAGCAGGAGGTTGCGAAGAAAAACCAGAACCGGGGGTATCAAATAAAGCGACCATGCCATCGTTCCCCCCACTGCAGTCGGCCCCAGCCCAACCAAGACAAAGAGAACATTATTGCGCGGCAGCAATGCACCAGTGTCGATGGAAAATCCAGGCGCTCTTCTGGCATTCCTTACTGCAGTACTTGGTCCGTCGGCAGCGGCGGCACTTGGCAAACTGCCTCGTGAACTCTTCCCACTTGCCGCACTGGTAGTAGGCGCACTGGCGGATGCCGCCCCGCGTGTCGTCCTTGCGGCACAAGTTCCTCATGACCACGCCAGCCCAGTATTGCATATCGGTGCTGTGGTACCTAACCGTGAACTTCTCCACGAGTGGGAAAATGTTTAGGTCGTTGGGCAGGCAGTACTCTTCCTCGGCCGTCTCCTCATCCTGCTCAAGCTCGACCTCGAGGGCGACTGGGTCGGCGCCGTCGAGAAGCTGAATCTCCTTGCCAATCTTGAGCTTGGGAACGAGATGGGTCCTCTGGAAGTACTTCCTAAGGTTGCAGTACTTGGAAACGTAGGCAAGAAGCTGGAGCGACATCAGGACGTCTTCTTCCCTCGGCATCGCGGCGAGCAATTGTGGGTTCGGGTTGAAATGGCGGTCGAGCAGATAACGCGGGACGCTGGCGTTGGGTGGCGCTGGCTGCGGCGGGCTCACCAGAGTTGGCCTGTTTGGAGACAGTCCCATGGCCGGCACGGGTGTCGGCGTGTCGTTGTTGTCAACGCTGCCATCGACTGGGCCTTGGTGGGTGATGTTGAAAGTCCCAGCGTCCTGGGTCTCGGAGACGGTTGGAGTCGTCAAGTCGATCGGCCCGCTTGCCATGATGCTGTCGCCATCCTCCACCGTGATATTGGGGCCCCCGACTTCGGGTTGCAAGTCGCCCGTTCCCGACATCTCGGCGTCAGGTGAATCTTCCGAAGTGATGCTATCCGCATTCATGTCATCTGGGTCGGTGGCAGTCGAGTGTTGATGGCGGATCGATGGCCGTCTCCGCTGCCGGGGCGTCCCAGCTAGCATTGAGGCGGGCCGCACAGTCGGGGACCGAAGTTGCGGAGGCGGTAAGGGTGTCGTGGGAGAAGCTGGTTGCGAGGTGACGGCGGATCGAGCGAAAAATGGCAGTACGCCACCGAGACGATCAGCGTCCCGGATCGGTCGGACGAAGCCATCGGCAGCATCCATTGACGGCACGATGGGCGCCAGTGGTTGCGCTGGCTGAGGGGCAGGAGATGGGAGGGGATGGTGGTGGTGATGGTGGCGGTGGCCGGTCAAAGGGGTCCTCTCGGCCGGAGGCGTCACTTGGAAATGCGGAGCGGTTGGTGTTGGGTCGGCATTAGAGTGAATCAATGCTGTGGACGGCCCCGCCAGCGCCGCAGACACATCGATTGAAGGGGGCGGCGCTTGCCTCCGGAACGTTCGTTGGTCGACATCCAAGGTGCCTGACCTGGATGAGAAACTCGACGACTTGTGCGCGCGGCTGCTCCCGCCGACCCGGTGCCGGTGATGATCCTTCT